TGATGATGAAGTTCAAAGATAGAATTTTTATTTGTATTTTTTGTGGAAAAGAAAGGATTTTTGAGGGAACAAATTTGATGCATTTTGATCATCTTTGTGGAACTTAATCGCGAGTGTCTACTGGATTTTATCCATTATCCATTATCTGCATAGACCAGAAATGTTTTTTTTTTTTATTTATTATTTTTTTTTTTTATAATTATTGTTATTCATATTAATGTAATTGGATAAAAATACTAATTAATCTTTTTTGGGTTTTTTTTGTTCCTCATATGATGTCAATTTTTGTATATTTCATTTTATTATAAAGTTAATAATAGCAGCAATTTTGAAGTAGAATTNTTTTTTTTTTTTTTTTTTTTATTATAATTATTGTTATTCATATTAATGTAATTGGATAAAAATACTAATTAATTATGTTTATTAATCTTTTTTGGGTTTTTTTTGTTCCTCATATGATGTCAATTTTTGTATATTTCATTTTATTATAAAGTTAATAATAGCAGCAATTTTGAAGTAGAATTATTTAAAAATTTTTTGATGATTTATGATCAATTTAATCTAATTAGTACGGTTTAATTATATATATATATATATATAATTAGAATATTTTTTAATATTTTAGCTTTGGAATTTGTGTTAGTTTTGAAAATACAAATTCCATTAAATTAGCATTTATGAGTTTGAAGGCTTTTGAAAATAACTTTTTCACTTTTTCACTTTTTTTTTTTAATTATTATTTTGCTGTGAAACTTTTTCTGTTTTATATATGATTAATTTTTATTTTCTTAATTAAAGATTTTATATTAAATTTTTTTATATGTTATTTATGAGATTGATTCGGAATTATTAAATGGAAAGGAAAAGAATAAAAGAGTCTTCACATGGGTTGCTTCCAAATAATTTGCACCACACTAAAAAAAAAAAAAGATTTAATTTTTAAAATTTAATATATATTTGCGAAAAACAACACTTCAACCTTGGTTCATCTCCGAACCACATACTGTTGGAGAATGTTTGACTTTCGAGCATCTATAACAATCCTAATTTAAAAATAAAAAACAAAAAAATTGGTCGATTATGTCTTAGACAAATATTCATGTCATGCATTTAGTAATAACCAAATCTCTTGACTAAAAGTAGAGTTGTTACACATGTCTATGCACTCGATGTGTTTAACTCGTGTCCTACAAAATAAAATAATATATCTTTAAAAATATACGCATAGTTTTAACGAAATTCATATATGTTCTTTATGTAATTAGATATAATGCATATTCTATTTAACAAATGACTATAACCACGTGTCTTTTGATCATTCAGTAGTAATAGATTCGAAGAACTTTTATAATCAATTCTCTAGATAACTTCTCTAATATGATATCATAGTTCTAAAAGTTATCGGATTGTTTTAGTTCGTTGTTAAGAGAGAGATGAAAAATGACGTTAACGTAATAGGCTCGAATTCAAAAGATCAATCCCGAGAACGAAATTAAAAATTAGGGTTTCGTAGAAAGACGAGGAAGGAGTGAGTTGTGTGTGGTTGAAAGTAGAGCCATAAATGTTTGGTTTGAAGTGAAAGGTGTGAAAAAAACAGGCAAAACACACACACATATGATATAATCATTGTTATAAAAAAGCAGCCAACACCATTATGTTATGTTTGCCTTGAAACAATCTTCTTTTTCTTTTCTTTTTTGTCTGCTCTTCTTTTTCTCTCTTATTTTTTTATTACAAAAATAAATAAATAAAGGGGAATTATATAATATTAACACTAATAAAAGTATTCTAAATATTACCAAAAAGAGGTAAAGCAACAAATTTTGTTGGGTTTTAATAAATGCTTTTTCACATTTTGATTAAAAACATTATGTTTTCATCTCATTTTTAGGTATTTTGTTGTATCAGATTTTTAGGTGTATGTTAGTAAGAGGTTTCCACGTCCTTGTTTCATTCTCCTTTCCACACGGATGTGGGATCTCACAATCTATCCCCTTCAGAACCCAGCGTCCTCACTGGTACTCGTTTCTCTCCCTAATCAATATAGAATTTCACTATTCACATCCCAAAATCGATGTGGGATTTCATGATTCTCACCCCTTTGGGATCTAGCGTCTTGGCTGTCATACCGCCTGGTGTTTACCTCCCTTTGGAGCTCAACTTCCTTGCTGGTACAACGCTCAGTGTCCACTCCCCCTTCTGTACTCAGTGTCGTCATAGACACACCGCTCAGTGTCTGGCTCAAATACCAATGGTAATAGATCACGTACTTGCTAATAGATATTGTTCTCTTTAAGCTTTCCGTTTTGAGATTTCCCTCAAAGTTTTTAAAACGCATCCGCTCGGAAAGGTTTCCACACCCTTATAAAGAATGATTTGTTCTCCTCCCCAACCGATATGGCATCTCACAATCCACCCTCTTCAGGGCCCAGCGTCCTCGCTCGCACTCATTCCTCTCTTCAATCAATGTGAGATTTTACATTTGTCGACTATATATATAATTTTGGGATAATTTAATACCAAAATAACAATTTTAAGGACAAAATGGCTCAAAATTGACTCATCAATCCAATAACATAGATTTAAAAAATAAGAATAAAAAGTTCAAGAACTTGAAGTCTTCAAATTCTGACAATTTCCCCCTTTTCAAAATGGCATTTTTAATGTTATTAATAAAATGAATTGAAATTACCAAACAAATCCCACAATTTAATGTCAAAGTTTGAGGCACTCGAAAGCAAAACAAAACAAAACAAAACAACATAAAACCCACTAATTCAAAATGTGTATTATTAATTATAATTAAATTTGGAGTAAATCTTATGGAGCAACGAGCATATTTTTTGAACTTTGTAAAAAAAATTTAAAAATTAAAAAAAAAATTGTCAATATAATATTCTGGTGATGAATTTGGAGACCAGAAGACAACCCTAAATTGCACTCTCTACTTTTTGTTTCATGGAATTATTCATAAATTAATTTTTTCTCTTTTTTTTTTTTTTTTTTTTTTTTTTTTTTTTTTTTTTTTTTTTTAACTGAAATTGCAGAATGCACTGAATGTGATTCGAATCCTAAGTTAATTATAAAAAATAAAAAAAAATAAAAAAAAAAAGATGAGATTTACGAGGTATTATACTTATGTAGGAATCTTAGAAAATCTGTTGGGTTTAATGTAATAATTCTGTTGCGCGTCTGTGGATTAAGTTAATTAATCCGACATCATTAATAAATTAAGGTTTCTAATTCAAAGTTATGTCCTTTGAAATGATAAAATAATCAATGTCAATAAATATCCATCCCCCTAAATCAATATAATTAAACAACAGAAGATCTGGCTTTTTGTAAAGGAAATTACAGTACAAGGCCATATGTTACAATGCTCATAATCATCAAAATAATAAATGTTAATGCCTTGTTCAGAAGAATCTACCCGAACTCAACAACAAATACTATTGTTCGTACGCGTGTCGGTTTTCGACTGTCAGGCTCTCTTTCACCCTACCGATAACAACTGAATATTGCTCCATCCTTTTGATTGTAAGTTCTATTAACAATGCTTCCAATAGTTATAACCCAAAGACGTTTAACAGAACAGATCCAAGGAGCAGATGGCTTGAGTCGTTCCAAAAATATCAAATACTTTGCTTCCTTAAATGGGATGAGGATCATTCATCACATCCTCCTCCCTATGCTCCTGAGAGTTATCAACGTTTTTTTCATCAGATGTCGAATGACCAGAATTATGATCGGTTACGACCACTGTCAAATGTCGTTGGGCAGCTTCCCTTTCAGTAACAGACTCATCGTCTGTGGATGTTGACCCAATATATATTATACCAAACTTCTGCCCATGAGTCAGTCCTGGACAGACCCCCTGCGTGACACAACAATAAGATTCTACTTGGTAAAAGATCAACCTAATTCAATGGCTTTAGTTCCTCTTGGTATTTATTTTACCTATTCAACTAATTCTCTTGCGTTTTTAAATGTATAACCAACAAATAACTCTAAGGAGTATAAGTATTCATTCACGTAATAAATCCGACACGAGATGCAAATGTGTTTTCTTTGTAATATTCTAAACCAATCTACTTAAGTGAGAAAAAAAAGGCTCTAGTGTGAATATACTAAGAGAGCAGTATGAACCAAGCGTAAAGCAACTGAAACAATTACCCTGATCAACCCAGTTGTTGATGTCAACTCATCAAAATCAGAGCTTGGTGGGGTTTCTGTTGAAGTCGTTCCCTCAGAGAATGAATGTTTAGCTTCTTCAACACTGGTTGCATTATTTCTCGCATCAGATTCTGATTCCACGCTACTTTTACAGAAAGCCCCAAGATATGAACAATGTTCCCTAACTAGGGATATTTGAGGGGTTGCAGGCAATAAGTGGCCCTCTGTGCTAAAAACATACCTATAAAAGGAATTCATGCATAGTTGCTTTTAAAAATATAGCATATCAAGGTAAACAATGGGTGTTGTTCCATTAACACATAAAATTTAAACAGAACCTAAAACTTACTTGTATGGACCATTTTCCACAAGGTTGTCAGGGCCCGCAGCCAAGTCAAAAAGAAGCCACAAGTATTTAACCTAATCCAACGAACATTCAACATAAAGTAATAGAAGTAAAGTAATAGTTTCTTTTTCCTTTTTTCTATGTTGGATTTGGGGGAAGATTCCTCACCGTTTCGGCAAGGAAGAAGCTTTCCATGTGATCTTCTTGCTTGTGAAACTCAACATCTGATATATGACAATATCCACATGGGCATCGGGCTCCATATTGCAAACTGGCGACCATGTCCCGTCCGGCATCAAGATATCTATAAAGAAAGATTTCAGGTAAGTAACAATTTCAAGGAAGATGGAAAGGTTGTACACCCGAGTAAAGAAAAATATTGTCAGCATTGAACAGATTACTGGATTCCGAACCAAATCCTAGTGATTTTACTGTACGCCATCTCCAAGGAGTACTCAAGGAACAGTATGAATAAAGTTCACTCCCCCCACTCAATCGAGGAAAAAAGTTGGTGCCATAGAATGGTAAACAAACTTCAACAATCTTGACGTATCCTAGATGTTTAAGATTTCAAGCACTCGTAATATGCATTTTTCATCTTTCAAAAACAAATATCCAAGCACTCTCCTACGGAATAACTTGATGTTTTCAAAAGCAAAGAAATTAGATTAGTCAATTTTCTATACGCCCACTAGAAATCAAAGTAGAGATTAAAGAAAGCTAGTAGGCCGACAACTTTATGAACATTATGTAAATACTACGCTCCTTCTTCTACTAAAGTTTAGCAGGACCACTTTACACTAGCTCAGCTCACCTGGGATTCCTCGTGGCTTTGTAGAGCCAATAAGTGCTCTCTATTAACTCTGGACGAAGTGGATAACTTTTCTGCCCGTGCTGCAAGAATACATAATGAATTGGATAAAAGGTCATACATAGAACAAAAAATTAAATCTCAATTATAACGGATACATAGGTATTTAGACGACAACTCTACAGAAACAGGACTAGGAAAAATGTTAGTTATAAAGGTTATCTTAGGTTTATCATAGGGTTCTGAAAGGCTTACTAATGACCATATATATTCACACACGAACCCATGCACACAAACAGGTGGTAGATGCAGGCTTAAGAAACTGATATGAGAAGCAAAGTCACGGACATTTGATATGGATTTGACATTGACTAGGATATACTGACGGGTTAACAAAATTAAGACATGTCCATCCTCCCTACATTTGTGAATGCAATCCAGACATGATATTTGTGGGAGCAAAAGTAGTTCAGTAGATGACTTTCATTTGAAAATGCTTCCAGTTAAAGAACAAATATAAATAAAATTAACTGTCTACATTTCTTATCAAACTATTTAAACAAAGAAATTAAAGGATTAGCAGCAAGAAGATCTTAAGCCATCAGTTGACTCATATCCATTATTGAAAACTAAAATACCTGGACACTGAGTGTAGCAAGATTGAAACCCTCAGGTGTAAATCCATATCTCTTCCAGACACTAAAGAATGCAGTATGTGTTCGAATTGCAGGGTCGATGTCCCCAGCCAAAACCTTTCAAGACAACAGAAGAATTTATCTAACTCTTGTTCTTTGGAGTAGAATTTAACTACAGAAAACATGATAAGCAATTGTTACTGTAAATATAATAGAAAGCCGAAAACCTGAAGCCCTGGCCAGAATGCCTGCAAACTGTTGAATAATGGCCAGACGAGTGCAGCGGAATCCATATTTACCTCAACATACCTACATGTATGGATTACAACATTGATCATTTTAAAAATAAAAAGGAAAGAAAGGAGGGAACATATTTTCTTCACCATTAGACTTAGAATGCATAAGCTTACCAAGGGTCATTAAATAGATAATGCATGGCAGCCCCATATGCTTCTTGAAATATGAATAGGTACTCTTCGTCTCCAAACAAAAGGTAAGCCTAAAATCATGTATTACAAAAAAAATGACTAGTGAAAAAATTATGGGGTAATAGATTGGGATTAGCAACGCATGTATTGAAAATTTGACGGTTTGTACTGCCATTGTTGTATAGAAATTTATTTGAGCTTGCATAAGGAGTTTATTGTTGAATACTAGCAGAATCAAGCATTTGGCACAATACCATAGGATGATTTCAAATACAATTATACCATAGTTGCATGGAAGAAAAGACATCAAGTACAATTTTCTAAAGTTTAAAGCCACGAGTGTTGTCCATTTAATATGAACCAGTTCCAGTGCTAAAGGAAAAATAATAGATTGATAAAATAAAAGCAAAAGAAACTTCTCATGAAAGTAGAAGGCAATTCAAACTGCATAAATAAAGTATTGATGCATATCAATAATTGGATTGGAAGTGTAGAAATTGACTAAAAAGCACAAACATTTTAGTTTGGTGCCTGTGTCCGATAATCCAACACTTGTTGGACACGTATTGGACAATAGTTAGCATAATGTATATGCGCTAAATCTTGAGTGATAAGAGCTTGCGGAAATAGTCCTTCAAGATCCATTACGTGTCCAAGGCCTTTTGTTCTTTTTTGCATCTGTTATTTTGGCACAAATCTTTTTAGTTCTTAAAAAGAAACAGTTTGAGAAGGTTCAATTGTTCGAAATGAATTTCTAAATCTGCGTATTTATCAACCTCAAGTTCGTAAAAAAAACCAAATTTTTGTTGGCAATTCTCTAATTTAATTATGTATGATCACAAAATTATGAAAAACTTTTTCCTTGTTTTTGTTTATATT